TCCTGCCCAGTCTGGGCTGGGCTGATCTCCAGCAGCTCAGCTCCAGAGGCTGCTGGTGCCACCAGGGTTTAAAAGGGAAAAGGGAATTTTCTGTCCTGGAATGCACCTAAAATTTGTGACACTCAGCTTTGGAGCTCAACAGGAATTTTGTCCTCAAGCACTGAGAGCTGGAGAGAGCCCAGAGGAGGCTCCAGGATGAGCAGAGGGATGGAGCAGCTCTGCTGGCAGCAAAGGCTGGCACAGCTGGCATTGTTCACCTGCACAGGAGAAGCTTTGGGCTGAGCTCAGGGTGGCCTTGCAGGGCCTGCAGGAGCCCCAGGAAAGCTGGAGAGAGACAATTCCCAGGGGATGCAGGGACAGCACTCAGGCAGTGGCTTCCAACTGGTAGATTTCCATTCCAGTCCCTCATTTCCCTGTGATGGAAATGAGGGGCTGGGATGGAATTCTCAGAGCAGCTGCCCCTGGATCCCTGGCAGTGCCCAAGGCCAGGTTGGACACTGGGGCTGGAGCAGCCTGGCACAGTGGAAGGTGTCCCTGCCATGGCAGGGTTGGCACTGAGTGGGCTTTGAGGTCCCTCCCGGCCCAAACCATTCCAGGATTCCATAAAAACTGACTCGTGGCTGCCTCTATTTCTCTTCCCTGCTGAGATTTCAATGTGATTTTTATCACACAAACCGAGCTGGATGTGAAGGTGCAGATTTTAACAGCATTTTCTCAGCTCTCCCAATTCACAGCACCTCTATTTTCATTTCCACCAAGCAAATATCTCCAACCCTCTCTCCTATTGCTGCCAAAAGCGTCAGCAGCCAGCCCCAGAAACCCAGGCGGTTTAGAGGAACACTCACCTTTAGAAAACACAGCTCTATCACCAGTTCTGTGCTTTAATGCACAGAAATAAAGCCTGTGCTACTCTCAGAGCAAAAAACCAGCACAGCACATCACCCACCTCCCAGATTTTCTACCTTCCAAATGTTCTGCTGCTTCTCCAGTGCCATGAAGGATCCAGTGACCTCCCTGGCTCGTTTCCCTGCCATTCCTTCAGGGATGAGTAGCTCTGACACCGTTCCCATTACACAAGGGAGCCCCATTTCCTCACCCCAGCTGCCGGGAATTTTGCAACCCGGCAGCATCCAGGGCACTGCTCCTGCCCGAGCCGGGAGGGATCTGCAGCTCTGGGGGCTGCAAACACCTCCTGCAGCCCCCAGCTGTGCATGGCAGCCCTGCAGCCCTGCAGCCTGCCCGGGCCTGGCCTTCCCTGCTCAGCTGGGCAGCACCAGCCCTGCTCCTGGGTGGCTCCAAAGAGCAGCACCTGTGTGCTGGGGGCACTGAATTGTCCCCAAACCCCTAGGAATTGTCCCAAAAACTGCACTGAATTGTCCTCAAACCCCCACTGAATTGTCCCCAAACACCCTGGGAATTGTCCGCAAAACTCCACTGAATTGTCCTCAATCCTCCACTGAGTTGTCCCCAAACTCCTAGTGAATTGTCCCCAAAACCCCATGAGTGAATTGTCTCCAAAACCCCAGTAAATTGTCCCCAAACCCCCAGTGAATTGTCCCCAAACCTCCAGTGAGTGAATTGTCCCAAACCCCCACTGAATTGTCCCCAAAACCCCACTGAGTGAATTGTCCCCAAACCCCCACTGAATTGTCCCAAAACCCCCAGTAAATTGTCCCCAAAACTGCACTGAATTGTCCTCAAACCCCCACTGAATTGTCCCCAAATCCTCAGTGAATTATCCCCAAACTCCCACTGAGTGAATTGTCCCCAAATCCCCACTGAATTGTCCTCAAAACCCCACTGAATTATCCTCAAACCCCCACTGAGTGAATTATCCCCAAAACCCAGTACAAACCCCACTGAATTGTCCTCAAACCCCCAGTAAATTGTCCCCAAAACCCCAGTGAATTGTCCCCAAAACTCCACTGAATTGTCCTCAAAACCCCACTGAATTATCCTCAAACCCCCACTGAGTGAATTATCCCCAAAACCCAGTGAATTGTCCCCAGCCCCCCAGTAAATTGTCCCCAAACTCCAGTGAATTTTCCCCAAACCCTACTGAATTGTCCTCAAACCCCAGTGAATTGTCCCCAAAACTCCACTGAATTGTCCTCAATCCTCCACTGAGTTGTCCCCAAACTCCTAGTGAATTGGCCCCAAAACTCCACTGAATTGTCCCCAAAACCCCACTGAGTGAATTGTCCCCAAACTGCACTGAATTGTCCCCAAACCCTCAGTGAATTATCCCCAAACCCCAATGAATTGTCCCCAAACTCCAGTGAATCGTCCCCAAAACTCCACTGAATTGTCCTCAAACCCCCACTGGATTGTCACTAAACCCCCAGAGAATTGTCCCCAAACCCTCAGTGAATTTTTCATTTCCACCAAGCAAACATCTCCAACCCTCTCTCCTATTGCTGCCAAAAGCGTCAGCAGCCAGCCCCAGAAACCCAGGCGGTTTAGAGGAACACTCACCTTTAGAAAACACAGCTCTATCACCAGTTCTGTGCTTTAATGCACAGAAATAAAGCCTGTGCTACTCTCAGAGCAAAAAACCAGCACAGCACATCACCCACCTCCCAGATTTTCTACCTTCCAAATGTTCTGCTGCTTCTCCAGTGCCATGAAGGATCCAGTGACCTCCCTGGCTCGTTTCCCTGCCATTCCTTCAGGGATGAGTAGCTCTGACACCGTTCCCATTACACAAGGGAGCCCCATTTCCTCACCCCAGCTGCCGGGAATTTTGCAACCCGGCAGCATCCAGGGCACTGCTCCTGCCCGAGCCGGGAGGGATCTGCAGCTCTGGGGGCTGCAAACAGCTCCTGCAGCCCCCAGCTGTGCATGGCAGCCCTGCAGCCCTGCAGCCTGCCCGGGCCTGGCCTTCCCTGCTCAGCTGGGCAGCACCAGCCCTGCTCCTGGGTGGCTCCAAAGAGCAGCACCTGTGTGCTGGGGGCACTGAATTGTCCCCAAACCCCTAGGAATTGTCCCAAAAACTGCACTGAATTGTCCTCAAACCCCCACTGAATTGTCCCCAAACACCCTGGGAATTGTCCGCAAAACTCCACTGAATTGTCCTCAATCCTCCACTGAGTTGTCCCCAAACTCCTAGTGAATTGTCCCCAAAACCCCATGAGTGAATTGTCTCCAAAACCCCAGTAAATTGTCCCCAAACCCCCAGTGAATTGTCCCCAAACCTCCAGTGAGTGAATTGTCCCAAACCCCCACTGAATTGTCCCCAAAACCCCACTGAGTGAATTGTCCCCAAAACTGCACTGAATTGTCCACAAACCCCACTGAATTGTCCTCAAACCCCCAGTAAATTGTCCCCAAAACCCCAGTGAATTGTCCCCAAAACTCCACTGAATTGTCCTCAAAACCCCACTGAATTATCCTCAAACCCCCACTGAGTGAATTATCCCCAAAACCCAGTGAATTGTCCCCAGCCCCCCAGTAAATTGTCCCCAAACTCCAGTGAATTTTCCCCAAACCCTACTGAATTGTCCTCAAACCCCAGTGAATTGTCCCCAAAACTCCACTGAATTGTCCTCAATCCTCCACTGAGTTGTCCCCAAACTCCTAGTGAATTGGCCCCAAAACTCCACTGAATTGTCCCCAAAACCCCACTGAGTGAATTGTCCCCAAACTGCACTGAATTGTCCCCAAACCCTCAGTGAATTATCCCCAAACCCCAATGAATTGTCCCCAAACTCCAGTGAATTGTCCCCAAACTCCAGTGAATCGTCCCCAAAACTCCACTGAATTGTCCTCAAACACCCACTGGATTGTCACTAAACCCCCAGAGAATTGTCCCCAAACCCTCAGTGAATTGTCCCCAAACCCCAATGAATTGTCCCCAAACTCCAGTGAATTGTCCCCAAACTCCAGTGAATCGTCCCCAAAACTCCACTGAATTGTCCTCAAACCCCCACTGGATTGTCACTAAACCCCCAGAGAATTGTCCCCAAACCCTCAGTGAATTGTCCCCAAACCCCAATGAATTGTCCCCAAACTCCAGTGAATTGTCCCCAAACTCCAGTGAATCGTCCCCAAAACTCCACTGAATTGTCCTCAAACCCCCACTGAATTGTCCTCAAACCCCCACTGAATTGTCCTCAAACCCCCACTGAATTGTCCCCAAATCCTCAGTGAATTATCCCCAAACTCCCACTGAGTGAATTGTCCCCAAATCCCCACTGAATTGTCCTCAAAACCCCACTGAATTATCCTCAAACCCCCACTGAGTGAATTATCCCCAAAACCCAGTGAATTGTCCCCAGCCCCCCAGTAAATTGTCCCCAAACTCCAATGAATTTTCCCCAAACCCTACTGAATTGTCCTCAAACCCCAGTGAATTGTCCCCAAAACCCCACTGAGTGAATTGTCCCCAAACCCTCAGTGAATTATCCCCAAACCCCAATGAATTGTCCCCAAACTCCAGTGAATCGTCCCCAAAACTCCACTGAATTGTCCTCAATCCTCCACTGAGTTGTCCCCAAACTCCTAGTGAATTGGCCCCAAAACTCCACTGAATTGTCCCCAAAACCCCACTGAGTGAATTGTCCCCAAACTGCACTGAATTGTCCCCAAACCCTCAGTGAATTATCCCCAAACCCCAATGAATTGTCCCCAAACTCCAGTGAATCGTCCCCAAAACTCCACTGAATTGTCCTCAAACCCCCACTGGATTGTCCCCAGTGAATTGTCCCCAAACCCCAGTGAATTGTCCCCAAACCCCACTTCTCCCCGATCACAAGCCAGCAGTTCCATTTCCTTGCCCATGCAGACATCCCGCTATCCCAGAGCGGAACTCCCGCACTCCCAAAAACCCACCCAGCCCGGCGAATCCCCCGCAGGCTGGGGGCAGCTGCCAGCCCCGGGCAGCAAACACGGGCACGGCTGGAGCACGAACAAACCCCAGCCCTGCTGCCCCATCCGCTCAGCTCCTGCAGATTCCCGTTTTCCCTCCAGCCCCGCTCCCATGCCGGGCTGCCCGGACACACCTGCGGGGCTCCAGCCCCTCCTGGGCAGGGAGAGGTGCGGAGGTGGAGATGCCAGCCCTGGGGATGGGTGCGGGGCTCAGCTGGCTCTGGCTCTTGCAGGGCCACCAGCCCGGCTGTCACTGTCCCGTCCTGGCAGAGGCGAGCAGGGAAAAGCTGGGCTGGGAGGAGGAGGAGGAGGGAGGGAGGGAAGGAGGAAGGGAGGGAGGGAGGGAGGGCAGCAGAGCCGTGCCCGCTGCAGGTGCCCAGGTGGGAGGTGCTGAGGGGGCACCGCAGCTCCTGGCATGGGAGTTGTGCAGCCAGAGCAGCACAGGAGAGAGGGAATAATGGAATTCCTGTGGGAATAAACCCACAGGGATCCCCCAGTGCCAGCCCTGCCCTGCCCAGAGCCCCCAAATCCCACCCTGGGCACCCCTGGCAGCGCTGGCCAAAGGCTCCTGGAGCTCTGGCAGCCTCGGGGCCGTGCCCATTCCCTGGGCAGCCTGGGCAGTGCCAGCACCTCTGGGGAAGAACCTTTCCCTAAAATCCACCCTAAATCCCTCTGGCCCAGCCCCAGCCCCTCCCCGGGAGCTCCCAGCTCAGGCTGCTCTGCTCCAGGAAGGCTCCGGGGGTTGGGACATTCCCAGTGATGCTGCCCTGGCCCCCTGGCACTCCCCGAGCTCCATCCTCCACGGACATTGCACATTTTGGGCTGGGAGGAGGAAGGGGAGGTCATTTCGGGGCTCCCCTCTAACATCTCCCTGAAGGGAGCACCAAAACCTCAAAATCCCACCCCAAATCTCACCCTCTGCTTATCCCTGAGCCACAGGGGGATCATCAGTGCCCACCTGGAAGCTACAAAATGAATTTATCACCGTGGAAAGATGCATTTGAGCTCCTTCAGAGGATGCTGCTGGTGTGGGGTGACACCCCCTCAGCATTCCTGGGCCAGGGCACATCCCAATCCATCCCATCCCACCCCATTCCATGGTCCTGGCAGGGACAGTGGCCCCCAGACTCTCATCAGCTGCAGTAAACAGGGATGGGATGGGATGGGATGGGATGGGATGGGATGGGATGGGATGGGATGGGATGGGATGGGATGGGATGGGATGGGATTGGGTGGAGATTGGGGTTGGGATTGTGATTGGGATGGGGTGGGATGGGTTGGGATGGGATTGATGGGATAGGGTTGGATTCATATTCATCTTGGGATGGCCTGAGAGAGATTGGGATGGATGGGATTGGGATTGGGATTGGGATGGGATGGATTAGGTGGGATTTGATGGAGATTGGGATTGGGATTGGGATGGGGATTGGGATGGGGTGGGATACAATGGGATGGGATGGGATGGGATTCAGATTGGGATGGGATGGGATGGGATGGGATAGGGTTGGATTCATATTCATCTTGGGATGGCCTGAGAGAGATTGGGATGGATGGGATTGGGATTGGGATTGGGATTGGGATTGGGATTGGGATTGGGATTGGGATGGGATGGATTAGGTGGGATTTGATGGAGATTGGGATTGGGATGGGGATTGGGATGGGGTGGGATACAATGGGATGGGATGGCATTCAGATTCAGATTGGGATGGGATGGGATGGGATGGGATGGGATGGGATGGGATGGGATGGGATGGGATTGATGGGATGGAGATTGGGATTGGGATGTGGTGGGATAAAATGGGATGGGATAGGATTGGATTCAGATTCAGATTGGGATGGATGGGTTGGGAGCGATTGGGATGGATGGGAATGGGATTGGGATTGGGATTGGGATTGGGATTGGGATTGGGATTGGGATAATGGGATGGGATGTCTCCTTGCCTGACACTCTTTGCCAGCTGCTGTTGCCTGGGCAGCAGCTGGGGAGAGGAACTGAGGTGGTGATGGAGGCATTTAAACAAATGGATGAAAATATCTCAGCATTTTCTCGCTGCTCACTTTTCCAGAGCTTTATTCCATTTTTCCTCGGGGTGAGGATGCAGCCCGTGCTTCCCTTGCCTGAGCTGTGGCTGCCTCTCAGTGCAGGATCAGGCTGTGGGATTCATTTCCAGGCTGGCCCAAATCTCTGGTAACATCTGCCTTTCTGCCTGCCCAGTTTCCCCCCTCCAGGGCAGCCCAGTTCAGTCCTCCCCTGCCCCTGGGAAGCCTGGAGCAGGATCTGTGGGATTGGGATGTTATGGGATAATGGGATGGTATGTCTCCTTGCCTGACACTCTTTGCCAGCTGCTGTTGCCTGGGCAGCAGCTGGGGAGAGGAACTGAGGTGGTGATGGAGGCATTTAAACAAATGGATGAAAATATCTCAGCATTTTCTCGCTGCTCACTTTTCCAGAGCTTTATTCCATTTTTCCTCGGGGTGAGGATGCAGCCCGTGCTTCCCTTGCCTGAGCTGTGGCTGCCTCTCAGTGCAGGATCAGGCTGTGGGATTCATTTCCAGGCTGGCCCAAATCTCTGGTAACATCTGCCTTTCTGCCTGCCCAGTTTCCCCCCTCCAGGGCAGCCCAGTTCAGTCCTCCCCTGCCCCTGGGAAGCCTGGAGCAGGATCTGATCCTCTTCTTTTCACAGCCCCCAGGGAATTCCCCTTTCAAGGTGAATTTTAAATCTTGAATGGGAGCTGGGGGTACAAGGAAGAGGGAGAAGCTGGAGGGGTGGCCCAGCTCAGGAGGAGTCACGAGGAGGAGATTCCCTTCCCCAGAGCAGTGGCACCAGTTTGAGGCCAAGCACGGCCACCAAGACCCTGGGATGTGAAGGAATGTTGTGCCTGAGTGTGTGATCTCCCCAAATGACTGAAGGGTGTCCCAGAGTTTAACTCAGGCTGGGAACAACACCAGGAAAAGCTGTGGGAGGATGGGCTGGGGCTGATTAGGGAAAGTGCACTTGTGGATAAATGCATTGGATGAAATAAATGGGTTAAACCAGCAATGCTGAAGGCTCAGAAATGGGGTTAGGGCAGCAAAGGCTCCCTTTGGGGTGGCCACAGCGCGTTGGATCCAGGAGAGATCCATGAGGGAGGAGGAGGAAGAGGAGGAGGGTGTGGGTGGTCAGTGACAGCAGAGTCAGGCCCTGCTTCCTCCTGGCGGGGGAAATCTGGGACAAAACCAGATCCTGGCACTTCCTGGGCCAGCCTGCCCCTTCCCTGAATGCTGGGAAGGGAGTGTGGGACAAGGACAAGGATCTGGGGTGGCAGAGGTGGCCGTGCCAGGGCAGGGAGCCGTGAGGGCAGGCTGGGCCCAAGGAGGGCACTGCAGCCATTCCCTGTTCCCTTCTCCCAGGGCAGGGCTCTGGTGTCCCCCACCAGCTGTGGGGTCACCCTGCCACCCCACGGGACACAGGGAGGGGGCTGAGGGTGCCTGGAGTGCAGGGAACCCCCTCAGTGGGGACAGGGGGGCTCTGCTGAGCCCTGGGGACATCCCAGCTCCCTGCTGGGGCCAGCTCGGGAATTCCAGCCATGGGAATTCCAGCACAGGGAATTCCAGCCCAGGAGGAGCTGGAGCTGCTGCAGAGAGCCCAGAGGAGGCTCCAGGATGAGCAGAGGGATGGAGCAGCTCTGCTGGCAGCAAAGGCTGGCACAGCTGGCATTGTTCACCTGCACAGGAGAAGCTTTGGGCTGAGCTCAGGGTGGCCTTGCAGGGCCTGCAGGAGCCCCAGGAAAGCTGGAGAGAGACAATTTCCAGGGGATGCAGGGACAGCACAGCTCCCAACTGAAAAATTACAGGCTTAGATCAGATATTAGGAATCATTTCCTCCCTGGCAGGGTGGGCAGGGGCTGGGATGGAATTGCCAGAGCAGCTGGGGCTGCCCCTGGATCCCTGGCAGTGCCCAAGGCCAGGCTGGACACTGGGGCTGGAGCAGCCTGGCACAGTGGGAGGTGTCCCTGCCTTGGATCTGGATAAGTTTTAAGATCCCTTCCAAACCTCTTAGGCCATTTTAGGATCAATTCTCTGGGATCTCAGGTTCTGTGTGGGTCCCACTCCCCTCCCAGTCCCTCCAGTGTCACCCCCAGCCCAGGCAAGGCTGTGTCTCCACCAGAGCAGATCTGTAACTCCTGGATGAGGATCCCTTCCAAACCTTTTAGGTCATTTTAGGATTCATTCTCTGGGATCTCAGGTTCTGTGTGGGTCCCACTCCCCTCCCAGTCCCTCCAGTGTCACCCCCAGCCCAGGCAAGGCTGTGTCTCCACCAGAGCAGATCTGTAACTTCTATTTGACTTTGGGGGTACTTGAGAGCACCCGAGACTGGGAGATTATTATTTAATATATCTTTAAAGAGCTCCAGCTCGCTGTAGGAATCCTCTTTGCCCTCCTGGATCTGTCAGTAGCCACAGATTTCATTTTCCCCAGGTCAATGACGACCTGTGGAGTGATGGGATCCCTCAGGAAGTTTTCTCTGCAAGGTGACAAAGGACATTTCCCAGCACAGGGTCTTGCAGATCTCTTGAAACTGCAGTCCTGGAAGCCTTTGGGTTTTAAATTTGCCTCTTTTTTTTTTTGTTTTGTTTTGAGGAAAGAAATACTGAAATAAGTATGGGGAGCAGACACTTTAAAGTTTAAATACACTTTAAAGTGTATTTAACTTTAACTTGAAAGTTAAATCCACTTTATTCTTTCAATAAATTTCCCATTTTCTTTGAAAAGCTGCTGCTGTGGCCCTTGTACAGGAATAGACGAGATCTTAACATGTTTCTGTCCAGGTCTTTTTTTGTGGCATGGTAACCCCTAAAAAACAGGGGGAAGGACCAGAGCCGTACAAACCCTGACTGGCAGAGTTCTCTGGGCTCCTGAGCAAGAGGGAGGGAGAAATAACTCAGAATTCATTCAATAATTCAGAATTCATTCAGAAATAATTTGGTTTCTGGCCCCACAGGGCCCCGAGCTGGGCCCAGCTCTGCTCCCTTGGCCAAGCCCAGGGGACAGGAGGTGGCCAGGCCCTTCTGCAGCTCCATCCCCCACCCAAACCTGTCCCCCCATCACAGAGCTCTGCTGCCCCAGGGCTTGGCCAGCCCCTGGGGATGGCACCTCCAGCCCAGCCCAAACCCTGCAGAGATAATTTTGGATTGAGGTTTTC